TTTATACATGTGCTCCTGGGTAAATTTATGTTTTTACTAGGGATGCACCGATACCGAGTATTTGGACTCGTGCTCGACCAAATGCTCCGATACTTACCTCCAATACCAGAAATTCCGATCAGAGGGAGATCTCCCTCAGACCGGCAGTGCCGAGGGAGCATGGAGCCAGCTTCCTTTCCAATCAGGAAGCCAGGTGGTGGGTTATAACCTGCCTCCCAGCTTCCCGATTGGCTAGGAAGCCGGCTTCACATGTTGCTAAGCCAACCATTTAGGAAGCAGGGCAGCACGTAATGACCCACCTCCCGGTGGGACGGCACCTCATGACTTGCCGCCCGGCTTCCTGATTGGTCAGGAAGCCTCTGAAGCTGGTGTTCTTTCACTAGAACACCGGCTTAACAGGCAACCAGGAAGCCAGGTAATGGGTCATGATCCGCTCCCCGACTTCCTGATAATCAGGGCACAAGGCAGCGGTACTCGGTATTAGCGAGTACCAAAAAAAAAATATCTGTACTCGTACTCAATACCGAAAAACCGGCATCGGTGCATCCCTAGTTTTTACACAAGAGTCTTTCAATATATATCTATATTGGATTCATATAGAAAATGTGTGACTACTGGGTGAATCCTGGGTAAATCTTGTGTGAATTTATAAATAGGCCCTTTAAGGTCCATTTACACCACCTCATTGCAGTAATGCGCAGTAAAATATGTGTGTCCCCGAACGTAACACTGTTACGCCAATTGCAACGTCATGATTTTTGACAACCCAACACATCTTCAGAGGACGTCAAAATGCATTATGTGCATTACAGTGCACTGTGGGTAAAACAATTATCAGGGTTGATTTCTCCTGCATGGGAGTCTATTCAAAATGAATGAGCTCTGGTAAAGCGATGCATCACAACGCATGGTAATCCATGTAAATGTTAGACAGGGGTGAAATCAATTGTTTTTTTGGTCTCTTTTGCTTGTTTGTTAAAAGGTGCTTTTGGAATTTGACCAGGTTTTCATTTCCATGTTATTATGGTGATATCTTTTTTTTTTATGGATTGTGGCTTCGTAACAAGTGGCAGTTAATGTGCCCTGCTGAACAAGCTGTGGGGATCCACTGTAATAGAAAACAACTGCAGCATTACACAGCTGTTCACAGCCCATGCGGGTCCCATATTCCCACATAGTAATTGTCTCTGGTGCCCGGGTTAGTAATGACAACTGTCAAGAAATGTCTAGCGCAGCAACAACATTGTTTTCAGACAGCTGGCCCCGGAGAGGATAAGCCATACTATAAAGGTGAATGAGTCCTATTAGTAAGAGTACGCTCAGGTACTGGGGCTCATTGTACAATTACTGGCCTCTAAGACTATCTTATGAAGGGTCTACCTATCATTTTACTGCCTGCTGGATCATTTTATCTTTATTTTTTTTTAACTTTTTCACAGATTGCTCCATCTTGTCTGTCCCCTCTGCAACTGTTCTACTGCCCTTCCCTAACTACCACTCTTGTAATATGGACGCAATTCAGTGGTGCAGGTAAGGCTAATAATGCACGGGACAAGGGGACCATTACTGGCAATAATTGGGATATACAGGTGTAACTTGGGGCTGTATCTCCAAAACGTTCACAGAGCTGTTCGCTCTGCAAACGTCTTCTTTTTAGGAGTAAACCACATTATGGCCACTAGATGGAGTCAAGGATAATAGGAAATTCCTAAACTCCTCGGCTCCATCCTTTTTGGCTATGATGCAGTACAAAGCTATAACTAAGATGTTGGTAGAGTGAATGTTTTATATATACACCCCTTAGTAGCGAGTTCCACTCTTTTTGAATGTATCTGGAACCAGAAATAGATTTATGGGCCTGCAGCAGTATATTAACCCTGTGTTAGACAATGCCTTGCCTCTGTGAATTTTGAACCCCTAACCATTATGCACAATGCAATTCCATTCAATCATTTAGTCTTAGCTGCAGAGAATTGTTTTGTACACTGTAAGCTTCTCTGTGCAGATACAGTTGTAGCTGGCACATTTTTTGTTCCATCTGAGCACCCATTGCATCTCTCACCTGTTCTCCTCCTTCTGCCTCCTCCAGCTCTCCTCTGGTTCCCCGGCCTCATGCGCACTGCCCGCCAGGCTCTCCCTGCTCCTCTGCTGCCGCTCGTTACTAGGGATGTGGCCCATACATTTATGGTTTGTACATTTTAGACTGGGGTTGCTTAAGATGTTGCATACTTTTAAAGGGGGGCATGGCTAAGACAGGTTTAAAAATGTTTCCTGGTGCATCCACAGCAGCACACGATGGGTACCCTCTGCCCCCTAACCTCATTAGGACAGGCACCCTATAATTTTGACCCACCTAGCACCTTCATTTTTTTTTTTTAAATACGGTTTTTAAGGAGCAGTGATTTTAACATTACTTAAACAATAAAAATGAAAAATTCCTTTAAATATCGTGTCTGGGGGGTTCCCTTAAACTGCCTGTAAAGTGGCACATCTGTACAATGTATAGAACCTGCTGCAGCAAAAATGACATTTAAAAAAAAAAAAAGCGTGCGGTCAGACCCTTTAGGTCTGGTAGGAATGTTAGAAGGGACCCCACTAAAAAAAAAATAAAAAAAGTGTGGGGTTCCTCCCAAAAGTCATACCAGACCCTTAAGAAGTCCAGCGTTGTCCACGATGACTCGACGAAATAAAAACAAGAAAACATAAATAGAAATGTTATGACCACGGTGACGTCCACTCGCGACGAACTCCCCCTGCATAATGTCATTTTGACAGATGCCGGCAACATATAAACAATTGGGCGGAGATAGCGGTGACAGATAGCTCTGCCCAACCATTTACAGTTGTACGGCATCTGACAGGTAAGCCATGATTGGGCAAAGTCATTATGACTTTGCCCAATCATGGCTCTTTCAGAGTACTGGGCCCTGATTGGGCAAAGTCTTGCACCTGACCTGTGGTCAGGTGCAAGGCTTTAGCCAATCAGGGCTTCACAAGTCGCAGTGCCCGCCGAACACATGAACTGCCGATGTTCGCGTCGAACTCACACTCGACTTGAACATCAAGCCCATCACTACTCACTGTGTATAGAGCCAATGAGCGGCCGGACCTGGTCGGGTATTCTGACAGTGGCCAGCGGCTGCTGTCAGAATACAATGCAAACAGCGGGGATTCCTCGATTGACACACTCGCAGTGTTGGAGGAATCAGCTTGTGCTCAGCGCATGGGTTGAACGAGAAAAATAGAGCAATGTATGGCCAGCCTTAGGTTGTGGCAATTGATTCTAGGCAATTGATTGAGGTTTAGGCACTTTTTTTTTTCTTTTTTTACACATTAAGCCATATTCACATTAAATGTTTTAGGAAGTCCTGAAAGCTGGACTTTAATAGCAGCATGCAATTCAAATAAAGTTTTTATTGAATATCAGAATAGCTTAAAAACCACATAAGATTCTCCATCATGAAATGCTGTATGACAGTTTATAAGACTTTCCTTCACTCTTCTATATGCTTCACCTCCACCTGCCAGCTACAAAGGCTTTTATAAATCAGGCTGTGGCTGTTTTTTTAAAGGAAAAAAAAAAAAACTATAAGGCTACAATTACAGTAGCTGTGAATGTGTGTTTAGGTTTAGCTCAGTTGGCTTTCATTTGCCAACTGTATTAACTTGAGATTTAAACCTGACGTTTATTCTACTTGTATTGTTTCCTCCCTTCCCCTATGAACCACATGCCAATGACATTTTTAAATAAAATCTTTCCATTTTCATTTACATACCTCATTTTAGACAGTATTATTATTATTATTATATGGAATGAAATACATTGGACGCAGTTTTGCTCCGGTCTGTAACTGCTTTAGGCCTGGAACGTGCTTGGTGTGAACAAGGCCTTATGCCATCACTGGGCCTTTGTCCTCTATGCAATGCAGGGAAATAATGGCTGCTGGGAGGGGCCGGCAGGGTGCTGTACATACCTTTCATAGCTATATGGAGCAGGCCAAGGATAGTAAGTTTGGGAAGGAATGAGCTAGATGATGCTGGACTCCTCCAGTCCGGAAATGAGGTGGACTATGTGACATGCTGCAGCTTTTCATGGATACTAAGAGAAGCGGATAATGTGCAGTGAAATCAGAGTAAACATTTTCAGTACAGGAGCCTGCACAAATATGAGAGACTGAAGGGAAGGAGTTTAGCTTTCAAACTACTGAACATTAAATCACACCCATGTATATTTTATCAAGTCTAAATGTTAGAGGCTTTCATAACTTGAGAACTATGGGGTAAGTGTTGTCCCCCATAGTTCTCTTTAGGGTCATGGGAGGACACATACTAACCTCCTCCTGTGACCCAGAGCTCAGTATATAGCAAGCTATACTAAGAGTGCTGCAGCCGAGATGGATGCCGACATTACTGTTGAGAGCCGCCCAGCTGCGTGAGTGACAGCTGGCTCTGGCTATCTAGAGGCAGAGCCATCTGTACCCGCCCCCTCCCGTTCATTCCTCCACTGGAATGCTCCCATCCTTGTGGGGAGCCATGACTGACAGCCACCACTCACTGCAGAGAGTTTGATTGGGAAGTGAGCGGATTGGCGGCATGTGTCTGCTCACTTCCCGATCAATAGATCCGACCTGTGACATCTTTGTCACAGACTCGGCTCTAACTATGAAGATGAGCGGACATCACTCACCTCATAGTTCTCCTTTAAGAGGAGGCGACTTGATATAAAATATGTTATCAAGGTTTGTCAATGTTTAAAACCTTTGTTTTCACAGATAATTTGTAATTACAGTAAACTCTGTTATCTGCCATCCACAGGGATTGGTATATTCCAGATAAATGTAGTTTCTGGTTGCTTGAGAGCTACTATTAAAACTAGGTCTAACTAATGACATGCCCCATACTATACCATATATCTATATCTATCTAATGGTTGCAGTGGTTGGAGATAACATTCTGTCAATACCAAAACTTAGTCAAGAAACTAGAACAAAATATTCATTTTGTATGTCATTTATTAATCATTATAAAGGTCGGAGTTTGTACAGCACTTTGGATAGCAATAAAAGACAACGTCAGTACTAAGCAGCTGCCCCTGAACTTCAGTATAACGATTTAGGAGTCTACTCTCAATTATAGAAGCAAGTTTCAGTACTGACGTTGTGCTTTTAAAAGGTGAAGTACATAGCACAAGTATACATGACATACTCTACATTGGTCCTCATTAGGTATAATACACATTTTCAGTTTGTTTTAAAAAAAAAAAGCCTCCTTTTGCCCCGAGTCAGTCTTAAGCTGACCACACACACACACAATACTATTATACAATCTCCTTTTACATTTACCAAGAGCCATTTAGTCCTACCCGATTGTACTGTGTGTGGCCATCTTTAACTTGTGTGTTGTGGATATAAAAATATAAATATCCCTAGATGTGTCAAATCACATGATAAATGCTACAATGGGTAAGACAATATGTGTTTAATCTCCCATGAAGCTGAGGAGGGCAGTTGGTGGGGTGATCTATTTTCTATAAATCATATCATTTACAATGCTGCCCAGAATAGTAAATCACAGCGATAACTTTATTTATGGCTCTTAGCAGTTTGAAGTAGTTAACTTTGTTGCAGTGAGATTGTAAAGCTTGGATTTATTTGTAATCTCTAAAATAAAAGCTGCAACTTGAAGAATGACACTGGTCATGTTCGATGTCAGGGCTCTCTATGTACTTCATTTAGGCTCTTACCATCAGCAGGACAGGAGATCACCCAATGTCCCCACATACTGAGCCGGTAGCAACATTTTAAGGTTGGACAAATCAAATCAGAATTTTAACAAGGCGTACAATAGTAATGCAAGTTATTGCCCCTTGCTGCTGCAAAGGTGTGGTAGACGTCAGTGCCACTGCCCCAAACCAGTGGGATATGAACAGACAAAGGGTAAGAACTGGGAACTAGGGCAGGAGGTCCCAAAAAGATGGAATGAACACGTCTTAGAACAGATGAATACGCTATCGGAGGAGTGACCACTTGATTTGCTCTTTTGCAGACTGCAGCACCTAAAAAGAAACATAATATTCTTGCATCAAGACAACAAGTACAAGACAAGCAGAGATTCACAAACTGACATTTTGTTTTATTTAACAAGCAAAACAACAACAAAAAAAACACCAATTTTCTTTGCACATGTTCTGTAGTTTTTCAGTAAAGTAGGTTGTACACGTTAGGCCCCAGTTTAGTTGAATATGTACCCCTGGTCTCTCCTGTCCTGAATGAACACATTTATGCTCATCTATAAAATATGCCAGACATGCCACAAGAAGCTGTGAGCAAATGTCTCGACGTAAGGTGGCAATTGAGCAACTAAGTGGTTTGGCGTTGCAGTTTTGTATTGCAATGTTTTTCATGTCGATGAGTTTTCAGGTTATACTTCTTGTACTCCAAAATGTTAGGAAGCCCTATTGCAATGTCAAAGTCAATCATTTTACAAATTGAAATGTATCAAAGACTCTGGGGATGCAAGAATCCAAGCAGAGCACAATTCTCATCACACACATACATTTCCATCTATAAAGAGAAGTAAACGGATGGTGAAAAGGATCAGAAAATGCCATTCTTACACACAAGGCACCACTTACATGAAGAGCTGCAATGAAAGGATTTATTTTTGGGTAAAGGGGGACTGTGAGCTAGTTTTAGCACTTTTACATCTCCATCTCCCCCCTCACTCCCCACACACACACACATTAGGTAAAGTCACCTCGGCAGCGATATAGGAGAGTTTGTGATTGTTACCTGAGAGACCGTTTGTTCTGTGAGAGGAACATCTTCACCCTAAAAATATAATACAAGAACATTACTTCATATGCCACATACAATATTTCTGTTTCTGATCCAATATATACAGTTTTTATGCCTTTCCACCAAACACTCAGAAATACAGCACCCCAAGCACCCTCTCACCCCCCTCTATGCCTTCCCTCCATATTAACCTCCACACTTCCAGACACCCTACCGATCTTTGCTCTGCTACAATGCCAATGACACCTCTTCCATCATTTGGTAGCTCTGCAGGTGGCTCTGCCAGTAGCTGGGCACGGATCCCTATGAGAGCACAGCAAACAGTGTAACAGCATGCTAATGGGGTTCATAAATCTGCCTTCTCGGCAGGCGTTCACCGTGAGCTGTGTGGAAGACCCATGGGACAGATGCTAGTAAAAGAAACAACATATGGTGATACGGTACTTAACCACTTCACCACTGGCAAATCTAACTGTATGCTCAAAAGCACAACCAACAGTTCTTACATTACTCAACAAAGAGCTCTTCAGAGGACTAAAAGGCTTTTACCACTAATGTACACAATCAACACTTATATTTATGTCAAGCTGCCCCCCTGGATGCTCTAGTGTAACCATGTTGCCCGGCCAAGGTTTCCCCTGCCGTCTTGTAAGAATGTCGGGACAAATATTGGGACATAACCAGGTTAGGTATCATAAATGGGCTGCTGGAAGAACTATATTCTGTGCATCTTTTTTCATTATCGAGGACTAAGGAGTGTTTGTGCTGGCCAACAGGCTTGGGTAACAATGAGTGAGCTTACTGGATACAATAAACCCCAGATCGGTATGATCAGTGTTGTAAAATTCTGACATTCTGATTCTCTAATGTCCTTGACAATCAGTGCATGTGTACGCCTGCTCTACAATCTGTGCAAGCTCATAAGAAGGGGAACATATAGGTTTCCCATTTCTGTACACTAGGTCACAGATCTTTTGGTGGCTGGTTGCTAGGAAAAGTAGGTCTATGAGTACAGGATGGAGAATACTTCTTTGCAAAAAAGTGGCAGTTATTTTATTTTTGTCCAATGAGAATTTAAAAATGAGTCACATGGCTAAAAACAGAGAGGCTTATCCCTGTATTAAAGCTTTGTGAATGGAGCATAATGAGTGTGAGTGCAACACCAAGAGAAAATATAGAGTATAAAGTAAATTTTCTTCCAGGGTAAGGGCTGTGTTATGACCTGAGGTTGCTTTAGTTGGTCAGGTCTAGGTTTAGCAATGTTATGTCCCAAAAAAATGAGGTCAGCTGCCCACCTGCATATACTAAATGAACAGGTTCTTCTATCAATGGATTTTTTCTTCCCTGATGGCACATTGGGCATATTCCAAGATGACAATGCCAGGACTCATCGGGCTCAAATTGTGAAAGAGTAGATCAGGGAGCATGAGACATCATTTTTACACATGGACTGACCTCCACAGAGTCCAGACCTTAACCCCATTGAGAATCTTTGGGTTGTGCTTGAGAAATTTGTTTATAAAATGAATCACAGGTCAAGTATGTGTGAACTGCGGCAGTCTGCAGAATGATGCCCTTATGTACCAATTCCTCCACCCCCGTCCTCACCTTGGCCTATCATCATTTTTCAATCACCTGTTAGTACATTGAAGTTAAACATTTAATATAAAATCAGCCAGTCAGATTCTGCCTTCCGTGTTTCTAGTGCATTGATGACTAAGACGAGGTGAATCTGACTTCTGGCCTATACACAGATCACCGTTTTAACGTACCCTCAGTGCAACACGATGAACCACTTGCTGGGGGTCACTCTCCAAAATGACCCTGTTGAGAGGGGGAAAAAAAAAATAAAATAAAGTGATGACAGACAGCCAAATCCTTCCAGACACAGAAGAGTTAAAGAGCACCCTCTTACATGCCATTATAGCTGGAGCATGGGAGCTCAATCTGCAGAAGTCTGTGATGGAATCAATCCTAATGATGTCATTACACGGCTACATAGCAGCACTTACGCGGTAATGACATTGTTAGGAGCTGTTCTCCTTGTAGAGTCTCTACGGTGGTAACGGCTGCTCTCTCACAATTCAAACAAAAACAAGCACAGACGGAAAATGTACAACTTCCAGATTAACACTTCTATTTACAATCGCAGGAGGATTTTACTGTCTTCATTTGTGAATGTGAATTGCCTGGGATGTTAATGCTGGATGTTTAACTACTAAACTGCCAGCAGTTATTCCAGCAGACATCAACGCGGCTTTCAAGAAATCAATGCAGTATTTTATGTTAAAGACTTTATAACCTGGAAAGTAGAAGGGAAAAGTTGTTTTAGTTTAGAGGGCGTAATACCAACTAGAAGCGGCAGCACTATGGGGTACTGCAATACTCCACAGCTTTCCTTATTGATGAGACTGAAGGCTTAGTGAAAGCACAGATGTCACTGTATATTAGCTGTTACACATGACAGGTCAGGACAAACATCGAGATGTCGCTTACCCTCCATCTATAATTTCATCAACTGCAAGGAACAGTCCTTCCATGTTCTCCAGAAGTGTTCGCTTCTCTACATTTTTTCTATAAATAAAAAAAATATATATGTCTCATATTTATATTTAGACAAAACAAAAAAAAAAAAAAGTTCCACACTGAAAGCAGGAGTCCAGGCAACCAAGGGGATCTGCCTTCAAAAAAAGTACTTGTCATATCTTATTATAAACCTCAACACGCAGGTGTCCGGCATTTTTTTAAGTATCGGCCTAGAAATCTCCTAAGACCACTATTGGGAACATCATGTTTGGGGAGGAGAAATGTTATAAGTACTTTGCAACATGTATAGTGCTGCAAAACTAATGACTCTAAATAGTCAGCCGCACTATGTAGCATCCCAGCATTGACACTCAAGTCAAGGGAAAGCCTTTCCAGGAAAATACAGAGCGTCTGCAAACCCCTTGTAATAAACACCTACCAGACACACCGGATTGTCTGTTCATATCTGTACTACTATCCCCTGTAGTCCAAAATGAGCAGGCGGCATGTCTCTGACCACCAAGAAACTCACAAAGTTCTTCATTGGCACTGGAGCTCATTGGAACAGGGATCAACCAAAAGGCAAACATGGTAGGCGATGTCCCTCTTCAGTATGCACTCCGATTGAAATCCAGCGTTAAACTCATGTTTAAACAAAAAAAATTACAATGCTCATTTTTTTAAAGTGACACTAAACTCAGGAGTTAAATAGTAAAAATGCATTCAAGTACCTTAATTAACAAAAATGTAACTTATTCGTGTATCACTCAGCTGTAGAGCCTCAAATCATCTCACAGTTATCATCAGTTTGGATCAGCTTGGAGTGGTGACTACTTTACAACTAACACAGGGACCATGGGGAACAAAAGTAGCCCCCCTCCAGAAGGAAGGACAGTGTCAGCACCAATTCAGAGATGATTTGAGGATCTACAGCCGAGTGATGCACAAATGAGATACATTTTTGTTAATAGTTAAAAAGGTACTTGAATTAATTTAAGATTTTAACGCACGAGTTTAGTGTCACGTTAAAAGGGTTATCACCCCAAAACTAATACCGCCGTTTTTTAAATGTAAACCAAAGTCTGAATAAGGCCCCGTTCACACTGAGCGATTTATCGCGCGGTAATTCCCGCGCGATATCGCTCTCCAATGCATGGCAATGGGGCTCTGTCCGTCGCTGTCGCGGGTCGTGCGTCGCTACAGCAGGACCCTTTCTGGAGCGGATTTTGCCGCGATTCTAGCTTGCTCAATGCAAGCAACGCGCGATTTGCGCATCGCTCAATGTGAATGGGGCCTAAGAGTCTTTGATAACATTGTGCTTCGGTCCCTAGGCCTGCAAAATTGCCACAATGAGGGGGACGTATTCTCAGGGACATTTTGCCACTGGAGTCCCCAAGAGATACAAGAACAAAGGGGGCAACTATTTTGAGGGGCGGTCCTTTTACAGGTTCTCCAAATCTAACATGCCTTAAATCAACTCAACAGTAAAAAATATATAGTAATTTATTTAAAGTGAAGCTAAAAATTACAATACAACATGTTGAAATTCCCTCACAAACACCTTTAAATGCAGGTCTCAGATCAGACATGTAACTATCAGCTTACAGAAGGCTAGGGCACCGGCTGTGTTTACATTGTCTCTGTCTGATCACAGCACTACTATCTGTGTTGGGGTGCTGCATACACCTCTTTGGGATGCCTATACGTTAGCTCTGATGTTTAGGGTCTGTAAATATCCACCCATGGGCTGGGGCAGCTTCTATATCTTAACAAGCAATGAAAGGGAGAATGTGATTAGTTTTAGAACTCATTCACACCATAAAGAGCATTGCTGCAATGCACTGCATACATGTGTTGCCATTCACTGTTAGTCCCACGCCATATCTACAATGCGCTGCTAGGCACCTGTGCTATAGCATACCACAAGGCACAAATGCTAATGTTCTGTGTGTTGCCGTGGTTCAGTTATAGAACGTTGTGCAAGTCTTCTTTTTTCCACATGTTGAGGTACACTGGGAACCCACTTGAATAAGTTGACCCAGGGCCCTGTCCCACCATCAGGAGTGCATTCGGCCTCTGAAACGCAACCCGGCAGACTCAATTTTTTGGGGGGCGGCAGGGGGCATGGTGGTGCATTGAACTCAGTGTCACTGTAGCCATGCCCCCCGCGGTGCGATCGAACGCGTGGCAGATTAGTGCCTGCAGATCGCACTGGACTGGAACGCAGGCACTAATGTGCCAAGCGTTCAGGTGCCGGTGATCGCACCACGAGCGGGGGGCGTGGCTGCGGTGCCATTGAGTTCAACGCACCGCCACGGCCCCTCCGGCCTGAGCCGGCTGGGTTGAGTTTTTTTTAGAGGTCGAATGCACTCTTGATGGTGTTACAGGGCCCTAAAACAACATTATTGTAGCCTTCCATATTGTAGTGGGAATAGGAGCTCAGGGAAAAAATATAGTTCCTTAAGGGCAGGTTCACCGCATTTTACGGACCAGATCTGGAAAGCAGTGCATTGTGTTTTGACTTTTTTTTTTTTCTAGCTTGAAATGGTCTTACAGGTGCATTCAAGACCAGACAAAATAAGACAAGCAGCATTTTTCTGGTCTGGAACACTGTGCTGGTATGAACAGAGGCCAGAAATAGCATAGAGATACATTAGGATGCATTTTGGGCCCGGAAACAATCTGGTCTGGAGATGATCCTGACATGGTGTGAATTGGCCCTAAAACACATTCACATAAAAGACAGCTTGCATATATGCACCCTTTAGATCCTAAAACAACTGTAGCACATGACTTAACTGAATAAATACACCCGACGTTACACATGGAGTGATATCATGGATATTGGCGTCATAAGAAGGAAGCATAGGACTAAGACTATTGGTTACGAGAACTAATATCTTATCACCTACCTTAGCATCTGACTCAATGAATCGAAAAGGCAATTCAGAACAGCCATCAACATGAGCTGTAAGAAGTTACAAATAAATGTAGGATATGAAATACAATCAGCCAGCAATTTATAAAGCAGAGCAGACAACAGAACACTACAAAAACGGAAGGAAAGACCACTCAAGGAAGAGGTACAAGCACTGTTTTTAGAAAGCCTGGAATGTTTAACTAAAACTCAATTATCAAATGGCTCAATACAGCAAAAGATGGAGAAACTGGCACAGCTACATGACTGATCATGATTCAGTGCAACCTCCCTCTCATTTTGCAGCGCACGTTTATCTGTGTGATGTTGCACTGGGTTTAGAGACAGGGCTGTGAGAACCAAAAGCAAAATGATGTAAAAATAGCTAAGAGCTGCCTGGAAAAATGTGAAAAAAGGAGACCACATCTCCAATTTCTATGTGGTGGCAAAATATGCTAGCTTTCCAATTTTTTAAGTCCATATTTAAGTGTTTAGGCATCAATGATTTGTCAGGTGATCATTAAACTACAGCAATGATCAGCAATGGAAAGTGAATCGCTTCCTGACCCTTCATGGTCACAACAAGTAAAGTGTGCATAGCCATTCATATGTATTCTGTGACCTTGAGCATGCACACAAATATATAGGACCAAACATAACAGATTGATACATTTACAATAGCGACAGTAAGTAGAGGTGAGAAACGTTTTCCACACCCCAATAAACTTGAGTATTCACCACAGATCAAATGATCATTTACCACCCCGAGGTTTGCGGAAGCCTTGGAGAGGGGCTTTAAAGGAACTCGGTTCTCACTGCAAGATTGTTTAAAATCTTAAAAACTTATTTTATTTTGAAAATCGGCATAAAAAGTTGGTTTGCATCAATGCAAATGAACATTGGTACGTGTAATTGGTAAAAAGTCCATATGCCATACAATAGCTTATGTAGCAGTGATCTAGTTGTTCTTTCTAGGTAAGTTGAGAGATGGTCATTGCTTCAGGTGCCTCAACATGTTTCGCCGCTTAGCAGCTTCCTCAGGAGGACCTCAAACCCAGAAAGCTGCAACTCTATGGATCAAATAGCAAAATGAGCCAAGCAAACATTGGAGGCCGAGGGAAAACCCCCACCAGGGGCGCCACCCTGAAGTAATGGAGGGGCCGTGAAGGGGAGCAGAAAAGGCAAGACCAGGCCATCCACACTTTGAGACGACTGCACTTCGTCCAATAGCTACCTCCTCATGTATCACTTGCCCCTCCCTTTTAGATTGCAAGCCCTCACGGGCAGGGCCCTCCTTACCAACTGTATTGTGATTGCAATGTCTTCCTGATATTGTAAAGCGCTGCGCAAACTGTTGGCGCTATACAAATCCTGTATAATAATAATCTGTCTCTCAGATTGATGTCCTGGTCTATGAAGCCAGCATGGCGAGAAGACAGATCTACAATTGCTGAAGCCCCAATGACTAGTGAGGAGCTCAGTTTGTAAAGAGTCATTCTTCTGACTTGTTCAGATTGTTTCACTTTGACAACAGAAAAGCCTTTGTTGAATATTATAGCGACATTGACAATAAATGATCTAGAAGTGTTCTTCCCCTTGATTAAACTCCAAGACCCCATGTACCTTTTCCAAGACAGGATTTTAGCTGAGCGATGCCGCTGAGCGATCACGGTACATTCCAGAATAGCAGTCGGGTCATTGTCTTGTAACATAAATCTACATTTAATGCAGTGTGAAAGTAGGCCGCAGAGTTCAAGATTAAGTGCAATTCAGAATCATTTACTGAACTCCATCAGGTTAAACAAACAATTCAAAGTGACCCGAAAACCAATAAGTCATAATGGCTTGTGTGAGATGACTTAATAGTCATTTGAGAGCCATTAGAGAGGTTCAGGGGTGTCAGCATTTACCTCTACCCAACCAGTTAATGGCTGAGTTCAATCACTTAAATGCTATTCCCCTTTTTTTAATATCTTAATTCAAGAGAAGAAAATTACAGAAAAAAAAAAAAAAAAAAAAGGGACAAAATCGAGTACAAATCTGCACAATTAAAAGGTACACGAATGAAAAAGTAAGCTGTGAAATGAGTGCATGAAAGCCTGGCACAGCTATTGTACACCAGGTCACCCCACTGCTTTACATCAGTATATCGGATGATCAGTCACCCTTTAGGCTGGGTTCACACCTAGGCGTATTGAATATGCGCGTTTGGTGCGCGTTTTTACCGCGATTCGCGGTCAAAAACGCGCGACAAACGCCCGTTTCCGAGGGCTACTTGGCTGTATCCCAATGGAAACGCGAGACCAAAACGCCCCAAAGAAGTACATGCACTTCTTTGGGCGTGGGCCGTTTTGTATCGCGTTCGGACGGGCGGAAATACGGCAAGGTGTGAACCAGACCCATTGAATACAATGGGATTTAGATGTTTGAGCGTTTTGTAGAGCGTTCGTCGAGCGTTGAACACGCGACAAAACGTTCAGGTGTGAACCAGGCCTTGCAGGAGGGGTTCTCCAACAAAACACTCCAGGTGCATTGGATGCCGGATGTATTAAAGAAGAACTCCAGGGAAAATTATTATCCTTGTAGTGTGGCCACACCCGCACTGCAAGGGTCAAGTGCTTGTTTTGGTCTAGGGAGGAAAATAAAATTAAAGTTATACTCACCCGATCCTCAGAGCCGGTTTTACTCTTACACCGGTCCCCGAAGCCTCTCTCCCCCTCCTTCGCAGTGGTCTAAGGTCCCGTAAATCATCACGTTCTATACATAGTGAATAGGATGTGAGGACACAGAGGGAAATTCCATCACTGCAGCGTAGGAGGAGACAGGTTGGAGGGCCATCTCCCGAGGATCAGGTGAGTATATCTTTGTTATTTTCCTCCCCGTAACAAAATGAGCCCTTAACCCTTGCAATGCAGGGGGTAGCCCCACTGCAAGGGTTAATAATAATTTTCCCTGGAGTTCTGCTTTAAAGGAACTGGGTGATCCAAACTGAGCATGTGATGGTAATGTGAAAACCAAATGCCAAAATGGTCTGTACATAGGATATAGGGAGCTGAAGTTATATTCAAATGTTGATTTTGCTTGGGCTCTGCCCGTTTTACCCTCGAGCCTCCCTACTAGTCACTTGGGCCCCCTATCAATGTATTTGAAGGTTCATGTTTTAAAGTGGTCATTCTATTCCTTGCTTTACTATTGGCCCAAACCTGCAGGTATTTAAAGCCCATCTTCAGCGTAAAGAGGGGGAGGGTAATATTTAGGGATGCACCGATACAGATACTAGTATCAGTGCCGATACCGAGTACTCTTACTCGCCCAAATGCTCCGATACCTAGCACGAGTACTTACTGTATCAGGAAGCCGGGCAGCGCATCATTACACGCTGCCCGGTTTCCTGATTGGCCAGGAAACTGCTCCATCACGTTCTCGTCACTTGTGATGAGAGAGCATGGAGCCGATTTCCCGGCCAATCAGGAAGCCGGGTAGCGTGCAATGACGCGCTGCCCGGCTTCCCGATTGGTCAGGAAGCTAGCAAATCCGGAAGCTAGTTTGTGTCCTCCCGTTACCCTAAGGAAAACTATGGGGAAAAGCCCTAACCCCATAGTTCTCCTTTAACAAGCACTATAACAGCTTTGAACAAGTCCTTACTGACCTTGCTAGCTGCTGGTAATTAGAAGTAATTCGCCAACAAAGACTATGAAGTCAGGTTTAAGTCTGTTTCTAACAGCTTTGAAAAACCGGTTGGGTGTTTAGGTCAGAAAGCTGGCAGGCTGCAAAGATTTAATTGTAACAGAAAGTAAAGACAAGAGCTAAGGACATAAACTTTGAAGATAAAACTTCTCCACTGTGCCTATCTACAGAGGAGAATGATGGCTTGATTTAAGAATGTATAAGTCTGGACACCGGTTCACTTTGGCAGAACAACTTCAGGATTAAAGCTAAATTCCAGACAAATATAAAAAAAAAAAAAAAAAAAAGACACAAAATAATGAAGCTCTGTAATTATTAATATATTGAAGTTTTTGTTTTTTTAAATTCAAGCAAGAAACTGAACTTCACTTGGTATCAGTATCTTGCAGTCCCTGTGCAGCAAAGCTATGCCTGGGGGGGGGGAAGCAGAACAAGGAGCCAACCACGTATGCTGTATTGCAATTGTCATGCTGGGTGGAAGAGACAGCAGAGTGACAGAGATGAACTCATCAGTCTTTTGATTTTCTTTTCACTGGCCTGCCATAGGCTGGAGAAGGGAGAAGACCTGTGTTACTTAACTGCAGTCTCTAGTACTGCCAGACAGGAATGTACAAATCTCAGGACTGGATGGATAGACATGCTAATCCTTTGGCAAGCCTTAACAACTTATATTTATTACATCTGTGTAATTCGCCATTTCCCTAAAGTTCAGCTTTCATTTACATGTATGTCAAGGACTGTAGCTTGTTTTTTAAGCAGACACAACAAAAAGAAAGGGCTATTCCCATAAAGCAACAGCCAAATGACTGATAACCTGGTGTACATAAATCCACACTTTCAGGCTTATTTATGAATGATCAATCAAGTCACCCAACCAAAATCATGTTATTTTTCACAAGTAGCTAATTTTAACATTTAAAAAAACAATTTTCTTCTAATGGATTCATAAAACAAGTGAAGAATGCAAAGCATCACATACAGCGATATATACAAATCACCATAAAAGATGGGAGAATAAGCCAAGTAAATTACCTCATTCTCATGGGAACTTCCAATAACATAGAAGTACAGGTCAATGCTGCTCTTATATACCACAGTCAGACCCTCAAGGAGAGCGATTTCACCTGCAAAGATGACAAGAAGACACAGACAAAAATCAGTCAATGGCAATTCAAGAGAGAGTCTACCCTAGCAGATCGCACTGTAATGAAGAATTGATTTTACATAAAGATGCAGAGATAAGGAATATTCCTGGTGTACACAAATACTGGGGATTTCCTAAGGCTGCATCTCTTTGGAACAGGGCAGAGAGGAAGCACTTAATAGTAGCAAGGAGGAGGTGTGCTACAAAAGTACCCGTTACTTTCCCCTCCCTGGTAAGCCATGGGTTAACTTTAACAAACACGGTTTTATATCTCTTGGGGACATCCAAGTCCTTCCACCCATTTCCCAACTCCTCTCACAGTCTTGGATTTCTAGCTTTTTTTTGATCATGTGAAATACATTTAAGATCCAAACAGATCAATGAGACCCACTTATAATGCAGGGTAGGAGTGAAAAAGGCGAGATCTTTGCTTAGAGTCTCACAGACTGATTCATATCCACACAAATTAGAATCCAATTATTTCACTATTCTGATTCAGTCTATCAAAATTAAACATTTATGGCCAATCTGATCAAATCAAAGAGGAAATGATCAAACAGATTGGAACATTTTAATTTGTGTTCAGTGTAACTTATAAGTAAACATTTTTTTTTTTCAAATTAACTTTTTCCCCCAAATCATTTAAAAAAAAATACATCAGTGAAACTTGTGATGAAATAATCCTAAATCTAATCAAATGTGTGTGGATTCAATGAAAGATAAATCTTTGTAAATACAAGATACAAAAGATAAGGCAGGCAAATCCAATCTCTTGCGTCTCCAATAGCTGAAATACCCCTTTTGCATAGGGCCACATGTGGCTCTTTCATCCCTCTGCTGCGGCTGCCTGTCCAGGGGCGGAACTACCCCAGGGGCCTGAGGCTGTGGGAGGGCCCAGTGAGGTCCGGTCCTGGGCACCCCCCCTGGTGGAATATGCGGCAGTCCAGGGTCCCGGCACTACCGACGGGCTTCTCAGTAAGGAAGCGGGTCTTGTGACTCACCTCCTCTCCCGGCCATGTCCGTAGTAACAGGTGGCGGGAGACGAGTCTGAATGAGGAGCGGCGGGGAGGGTGTCGGGGATCGCGTTTCTATCCAAGCCCAGAGTCCAGGGCGTCTCCGAGCCCAGAGTCCAGGGCGTCTCCGAGCCCAGAGTCCAGGGCGTCTCCGAGCCCAGAGTCCAGGGCGTCTCCGAGCCCAGAGTCCAGGGCGTCTCCGAGCCCAGAGTCCAGGGCGTCTCCGAGCCCAGAGTCCAGGGCGTCTCCAAGCCCAGAGTCCAGGGCGTCTCCAAGCCCAGAGTCCAGGGCGTCTCCAAGCCCAGAGTCCAGGGCGTCTCCAAGCCCAGAGTCCAGGGCGTCTCCAAGCCCAGAGTCCAGGGCGTCTCCAAGCCCAGAGTCCAGGGCGTCTCCAAGCCAACTTGGAGGTTGCGATAAGTATGAATGGAGTGGCATGCCTGCAGTACCACGCATTCCTGAGATTTTCAGGACTAGTACAAAAATCGAAGAAAATAAAAACACTTACTGTCTGTCCTGTGCGTTTTATTGAAGATATTCTTCTCAAAGGCTTTTTGCTCCTTCACAGTTGGATAGGTTTCATCATAGTACTGTCAGTACAACACAAAAAGTCATAATCACGTACAGTGAATTCTTTATCATTATTAGTAATTAGAACAACATGTACATCCATTTTAGAATGTGTGAAAGTAAATGCATTTTTAACAGCCATGTTTACAGCTGAACTCTAGCCACAAAATCTTTCACGTGTATGTAAAAAAGGCTATAAATCCACTTTGTATGCACCAGATGCCTTTGTAAAGTAGATATTAACTTGCAAAGGTGAGCTACAAATAGACTATGCAGATAGCAGACCATGTCTGCCCACTATAGACTGCCTGCAGAATACTACAGGAGGGGCACTGATATTAGACCAATCACCCTGTACAAGAAGCAGGATCGGCAGACTGGTCTTTTTTACAGGAAACTCTTGCATAGAGGCAAATGTTCTTTAATGCTGGCTACTGCTGCACAGATCTGGAGAGACGACACAAAAGGACACCAAGAATACATGTGGTTCTTGTATTTAGATCACAAAAAGGATCCCTCCAGGTATACCGCAGGTACAGTCTTAGCATGACATGAATTTTATGTTGACACTAATGGTGTCTAATACTGTATAATAATTCTAAGAACATTTTAAAAGCAACGTTCGAGTTGTTTGGTTTTATTAGTATGGGGATCTGGTGTAATATACTTCCAGATTTTTAAAATTTAAAAACAGTGTGACAATGCCTACCTGACCTATCCATCTCATTTACAGTATATGATCATTAAAACTGCACAGACATTTTAATGGTTCACTTTGCCTAGCATCTTTGAATGGCTTAGCTTCATTCCGCATGGTATATATTGGTATCCTTCTAGCAGACGTAGAAGTGCACAGTACATGTATTCAGAAGCAGATAGATGACATGGTGGGAGGCAAATGTGGTCACTAGGTGTGGGATTCAAACTGAACTGTTACAGTATAACTAATGTGGTATCAAGCTGAGAAATTTGGATGATAATCAAACCATGCGTTGAGAGAACAAAGAGATACGTCTCCAAGTGATGACAAAAAATGTTGGACTCTTTAAACTGGCCATAGACATAGGAGTGGTTGAAAATGAATTCTCAGAGTTTAAAACCATCTATATCTTGTACATCACACAACGAGTACCAGTGGGGAGCCTGGAAAATCCAAGTTGACTAAGGAACAAAGCATCTTTAATAATAATCTTTTTCTTAAGAGTATGAGGAGCTACACTTGCAAAATCAAACCATGTACATGCTGACAGAATTAATCAGAAGATGTGTAGAGAGCAATACTCCATAACATCGTTACTGGGGATGCACAGAGTATTTGGGCGAGTACTGGAACTCGACCAAATGTTTCCGATACTTACCGGAATGTCCAGTGTCAGGAAGCTGGGCGAGGCAATGACTCGCCCCCGGCCTCCTGATTGGCCGGGAAGCCGGCTCCCTCGTCACTTGGTGACGGCGTGTAATGTCTCGCCGCCCAGCTTCCCGTATGGTCAGGAAGCCAGTAAATCAGTAAGCTGGGCGGCAAGTCATTACCCACACCCTGGCTTCCCGATTGGCCAGGAAGCTGGCTCCACGATTCCTTGTCATCTGGTGATGAGGGAGCATGGAGACTGCTTCCCGGCTAATTATGAAGTCGGGCGGCGACTCATTACACATCGTATGGCTTCCCAGCTAATCAGTAAGGTGGGCAGCGAGTCATTACACGCTGCCCAGTTTACTTAACGAGACTTCTGGTATCGGTACTGGCAAATACCGAAGAGAGAAAAAAAACTAATCGATGCTCTTTACTGGAGTCAAGGATGATTCTGGATTGGCTGCTACAGACTACAGCACATTGTATTAAATAAACCTGTATGGATATTACCTTCTGGATAGAAGGAAATTACATCTAAGTGTGAGCCTGTACATGAGCCACTGTTGACACATTTGCTGTGTGATTATTCAAGATTACCTTAGCAAAGAGCCTCTCTCCATCGTTGTCTAAAATGAGAACCGCTTTCACGGTGTACAATGAGGGGTCCTGCCAGAAGAAAGAGCAAAAAAAAGTCACCATCATCAGCAAGCACTCCCCACCTCCCTCCCCTAGGAACATGCTACATGAGAGTCATCTACAGTATAGATTCAGATATACAACATGTTGTGGCTTCTTCTGACCTGGACATTTAAATTACTTCACTTGGAACATTTGTCCCTGTATAACTCAAGTTCCTGTGTTGAAGAACCTTGGTATTTACATCGTTACATTGTCAGTTTGGCTTGGAAAAGTGTTTAATTACCCAGGAGAAGGTCGTGCTCTGGCTAAAGCCGACCATACACTGAGAATTTTGTTCTAAAAATAAAGTTCAATTCTGCCATCAAGTCAATTTCATTCAAAACCTCTCGAAAATTTCAGTTGATTGGCTGCAGTCACTGGTTGGCTGACAATTTTCGGACCGAGTCCTTTCAAGTCAATTGAAAAATCTACTTTTGTCGATTGCAGTGGGACAGACATGGCCACACACAGTGCAAACTTCGGCAGGTCAGCAGGACTCGGCAGAAACTTGTGTAGTGTATGGCCAGCTTGATGAATAGCAGCCACTCAAATGCTACCTTTTCAGTAAGTGAATATGAGCAAAAAGGACGTCTTTATTACCAGCCATCAGCATGTAGGCTGTGTAAGAACTCTTCCCTCAGAAAGTAATTATGTCTAAGCTGCAAAGACCATCACTCTAAAACTAAGACAGGCCAATATTACAATGCTCTGCCTTTATTCACAGCTGTCCCAGGATAACTGAACATCTACTGACCATAGAACAAGTGACTACAAAGGGAACTCTAAGACCACTAGGAGTTAAAAGTGCCACCAAACTCAGAAGTTAAATTGTAATAGTTAGTGTCTTTCAATGCATTTTAACACAAATGTTGTAAAGTAGCCAGCGCTCTAAGCCCACTCCCCTGACAGACTAGAACTTCAATAGATATTGGTAACCTAAACCTGAAATCGTAGTCCATCACAGGAGTGAGCTTGGAGCAGTGACTACTTTACAACACACATAGGGACCATGAGGGACAAAAGTAGCCACGGTCCAGGAAGGACAGTGTCAGCACCAATTCAGAGATGATTTGAGGAGTGAGGGTGAACAGCAAAAGAACTACAGCAAACCTGTACTTAGAAGGAAATGGCTTGCATCAAGACAAGGAGGAGCTGAGCAGATCTAACAGCCTGTATGATCTACACCAGTGTTTTTCAACCTTTTTTGTGCAAAGGCACACTTTTTTTCATGAAAAAAAGCACGAGGCACACCATTAGAAAATGTTTAAAAATTTTTTACCTCTGTGCCTATATATAAAGTAATTCTCTTGAATAGGAATCAAATAAACACAAAGAAATTATTTTATAATTGTTCATATTTCTGTTCAATCCATGACTTAACTTCACACTTCACACAAATACGTTTTAAATTCAAACTGTAGCACTGACGTAGCCCTGGTTAAAGTAGGGTTCAGTGGGGTCTCACTAGTCTTGGTTAAACCCCACAGAGCCCACTGCAGCTACTTCATCACGGGATCCAATTTTCCTGCTGCATTGGAGCCCTCGAGACAAAGTTCTGTGATGCACTGACTTCCACGTACTCACAGTCTGAGTGTATAACAGAACTTCACCTCAAACACTGACCATACCATTCCAGGAGCTATGCATGAAGTAAAGTCACAGAAGAATATTGTTACCGTCATAGTATTTATTTTGAAGGTAATTGTTGATGTGATTTTTCCATGTTGATATGCTTTCTCTTCCATATTGTAGTATTCCATTTAATATAGACATTTGCAGATTAGACCCTATAAAGTGCATAGACTACCACAACCACTCTCTCTGCTGTGTATTCCCTGCATGTAAACAAAGGGGCGGGATGCTTGTGCTGGTGTCATTTACCTTATATGGCCAGGGTAAGTTACCAAATATAGGCATGTAACCATATAAGGTCAATGATGTCATTGCATCCCACCCCTTTGCTTATGCCAAACTGGGAACTCCATGCTAGCAGCTGATAGGGCGGCATGGGAGGAGCTTCCTTCTAGGTTCAGAGGAGCTCAAGTTCAGACTGGATTTGATCAGAAGGAACAGTACGGAAGAAGCAGAACTTGTCTATGTAATACGCAAACATGGCTGCCTCCAAGTACAAATAGATATACAACTATACATAAAGTTTTTAAAACATTAACACATCAAATTCATCCTTTTTTTATTATTATTTTTACACATTTAAAGCATAAAAAGAGACTATACATCTCCTTTAAGCACATTCTTTTTTTTTTAACATAGCATTCACGATTATTAAAGACAATTCAACAGGCATCAAACGAGCAATAAAGAAAAACCCAACATACTTGGTTGGAATTTCAGAGACTGCCAGTGAAGTTATAAAATTAGAGGAAAATGTGTGGTAGGTTATTAAAACACAATGTTCTATTTTGCAAGTGTGAGCTCACATGGCCGAGTCTCACAAACATATACTAACTTTTTAATAATAGCATTTACACATTTTTAGCATGCAAAATCTCAAGAAAAGAAAAATGTCTGCGAACGCTTTCAAAAATACAATATTGAACTAATACCAGTAGCTTTTTTTGGAGTCAATTTACAAAAATCAATGTTTTATTTGATACAACTTGTTCAAAGACATTGAGAGGTTAGCAAACTCAACTGGAAAATATTAGTAGTACAAAAGTCTACATATTGTATCGCATGAGCCTGGGGGTAGCTGATGTCCCCAAAAATTCCTGAGCTTTTTTCTCTAGTTCATGTGCTTCAGCTCCTAAAAGTACTTGTTGTTTTCTAACATTGGACAAACTGCCCCCTTCATTATTATGTTCTCCTCCTCAGAATGATTTTGTGGTTGACCTCCATGTTTACCATCACCCCCACAACCGTCCACTGACACTTTTACATGGTTGCGACTGTGACTCTTTGCAACAACATTTGTGCAACATGTTGTGTTAGGCATGCAGTGCTGCCTGCCAAATGCATTTATTGAAGTCAATGGGACCGCGGTGGATCATTTGTCAGTGGAGTGTGTATGTAGGGATGCCTTAGGGTCCATTCAAACATATTAAAGTGACCTGTGTTGTACTGCTCTGGATCAACACCGGTCACCACAAGGACACATAGAAAACAACTTTACCCTATGTGTCTCATTCACACCACAACATGGGTGTGATGGACGGGGTGGTGCACTGCGATAACATGCAGCATTTTATCACAGTGCACTGGATGCCACCGCAGATTGCCGCACGGGGACCTGTCATGAGTGCACACATTGTACACTCCACATAAGAATAAAAAGAAAAGAAAATGTAATCAGTGACAGCTCTGGCGGTGCGAGATACAACGCACATTGCTGGATTAGTCACAACCCACTAGCTCATGTGCTAAAACGGAGCGATTTAGTGGATGGGCTAGTGTGAATGGGCCCTGGAGGTCTTTGGATTTTTTGCTAGGAGGTGCATGTCGTAACTACGAATGTCAGTGAACAAACCACCAAAGGCTAATTATATTTTTAAGTTTGCTGAAGAAACAAGGGGAGGACTTTGCATTTATAATGAATACCAGCACCAGCTAAGCATTATGAGGGTTTGGACCGGAACACCTGTGGTCTTAACGAATGCCCAAAGCTTAAACTGTAACGGAGTGAGGGCCCTTAAATCCTTCGCTAAGAAGAGACAACCGCTGCCAGAGGACCAGCTAAGCATATTACCGGACCAAATTATAGCCACTTCCACCCCCCATTCATTACCTGGGTGTTTTATATTAATCAGAAAACATTATTAATAAACCCGAGTACATTTAAAAAGCTCTTTTAATCATTTCATAAATCTATTGCTACTGGGCAAAAATAGCTGCAAGGCGCTCCGGCACTTGATTAATCTCACTCTCGAGATGGAAGATGACTGATTTGGATCTGATCGTTATGCTGCTGTGGCTGCTCTAAGGTGGAACGCAAGTAATTAATTCTTATGCGCACATTATTTACTAGGAGTTCAATTACCTCTCAAAGGCTGATGTAAATAAATACTGACCCAGCCATTAAAAACTGGACAGGCTGTGACATTGCTGTATGACATGGAGCTAATTGTTTCTGGCATTTAATAACATGCATCCAATCAAAAGGGACCGTCCACGCTCTGTTCCCACCACCTTAACCCAGTGTATTCTAGATTATACTATACAACCAATCGTATCTATGTATAGAAGAAGAGTCCAGTGTGCCGGTGTCCTCCAGTCATGGGATTTAGGGTCTGCTCCATTTAAGAGGGGGAAACCAGGCAGGAATGTATTCTATTTGCTCTGTTTTTAAACAGATTTTCTCTAACTCCATTTTTACACCATCATTTCAGCTCCACTTCTGTGCAGCATTTGACTATTATATCTCCAACATACTCGTTTGTAATTGATTAAAGCCAAACAGCTAAGTAAGCCCTCGTGGGCAGGGCCCTCCTTACCAACTTGTCTTGTAGTGCAATTGTAATGTCTTCCTTTTATTGCAAAGAGCTGAGCAAACTGTTGGCGCTATATAAATCCTGTATAATAATAATAAATATGCAGTTTATGTGCATAAAAGGGAGTTGCTAAAGGATGTGTAATTCCAGCTATTCGGTCCTGAGATTTACACAGCTCTGTCACACAGCATAGCCAGGTGGATGCAACCACTTTCTCAATTAAAAATTAACAAACTGCTGACACCACCCTGCCCATTGGACCGGGAAGGAGCAGCAGCAGAATGATGAGGTAATTTCTGTTAATTCTGCTCTCTTCCTATTCTTTATAACCTACAGCTCATACAGACCATCTCACAGGCTCAGCAGGTGGACAGTATGAGTGTATGTCCCGAAGTCTCTGACCTATAACAGTCTCTATTCATTTCTGCATTGCCGATCACATTAAAACTCAGCTACAGCCTTGGGGCTCTCTCTGGATGCTTCCATCCACATAGATCAAATGAACATTCTACACCAAGTTACAGGAGTCGTCTTGAAAAATAACCAGCCACTTTATATTGGTGCCTCCACCCAAATTTCACTGTCCAATGAGAACACCCAACCGGCTAATAAACCCTTATTGATTGGGACATGTGCCAATGATTTAGACCATATTATGTTCAATACGTTAATAGTTCCAAAGCTGGCACTTTGGTTAGAAGAATCAAGCCATTAGTAAACTGATGCCAGGATTATAGGGGTGCACAGAGGGGACTTTTCTGGGTAACGTAGGTGGGAGCAGGCGCCATGTGTTACTTGCCTCTAAGCAGTAACTGGCAGATTTGCTTTAAGTGATCAGAGTGAATCGTATTGATTAATTATTGGTCTGTTAATACTCAAATACAATCTATAATAGTTAAAGCCTAGCCACCGTTCTAATACTTCTAGTCCTGTTACTGTTCAGGTAAAGAAGACACGGTTTGCTACAAGAACAAACAAACTCATCTGCATTCAGACATTTCATACAGGAGGTCTTCTGCGTTTCTAATAGTTAACTGATCAGATTATGTGGAAATGGAGATAATAGGACATGCGAGGGTCAGGATGTATGCAAACCACCATACAAAAGAAACATATAGATGGAGCAGAGTTACCTTAAGAGATAACCTAATGCATTAAGAGCCGGGGTCCTGCAAGAACTCAGATCTCTATCTGCTGTTGTATTAAGCTGCTCCTAAACAGACCACCTATCTGCATTGATTGATTTAGCACAGATGACAACTTGTCCATGCTTGGGCCACCGCCAACCTTCAAGGCTGACAAATGTGTTCAAACACTGGACAGGAAGGACGGAGACGTGGCCAGAGGATGGTCACATCAGAACATGTATACAGACGTCATAGGACTACTTTTATTACTCCCTGCTGAATATGGATTTGGCTTTTACTACTAATGCCATTAAGGCAGCTCTCAGCCAAGTTCCAGGTGACACAATCTCCTTCCATATAGGTAACTGAAGGAACACCCTGAATACTTCTAAATAAGAACTTGTTATCCCTTTATCAAAAGTGATAACAGGCATCACAATTCCAATTCAAGTTGGCCACTCTCATACTGGTGGCAATATAACAATGCCGTCTCCTCCAACCCATCACGGACATCGGATGGTCTAGCATTTTAAAATACAATTTCAGTCTTTGCTGTATTGTACCTATAAGAATATGATGCTTCCACAACTAAATAGTTGCTGTATACTTCAATAAAGGCAAACTGTATTATGTTAGGAAGCAAGCTCAATATATCTTTGTCTTTAGACAGGCGGTGAAGCTGGAGATCTGCCAGTGTCTGGAGTGTTATCCTTCCATTGGTTGAGATATCCCTATTTAAAGCTACCAGTTTCATCACTTCACAGATGAAAAACTTTAAGGCTGGGTTCACACCTAGGCGTATTGAATGTGCGCGTTTGTCGCACGTTTCGTGATGCGCGTTTTTACAGCGATTCGCGGTAAAAAAACGCGCCACAAACGCGCATTTCCGAGGGCTACTGGGATGTATCCCAATGGAAACGCGCAACAAAAACGCCCCAAAGAAGCTCCAGTACTTCTTCGGGCGTAGGGCGTTTTGTAGCGTGTTCATACAGCCTGTAATATACGCCCAGGTGTGAACCATACCCATAGGAAATAATGGGATTTCGGTGTTTGAGCGTTTTGCAGAGCGTTCGGACGCGCTACAAAACGCCCAGGTGTGAACCAGGCCTTATTCATAGCTCGAGCCTAATGGTGAGACCGGAAGAAGATGTCAAGGAGAAAGTCATGGCAAAGTCATAGCCAACTTCTATAGCTCTGACCAGGCACCATTTTGGTAATGAACTGGTCTGAGCTTAGTAAAGTACGCATATGAGGGCACAGCACAAACACAGAAATAATGTTTAAAAGAGAAGTACAGGTCCAAATAAAACGTTTAATGGCAGGAGTTGATAGGGGGTTCCAAATAAAACAGCAGAGCAGACCACAGACACAAGAAAAAGGACAGGACAGTGGGGGATAACCAAAGCAGGGTTGACAGGGTCTGCGTATTCTCCAGCATCATATGGAATATGTGCATCCACCATGTGGTCGTGGCATGGTCTTGTTGGTCTCTACGCTCCTAAGCAGTAGGCAGACACGATACCTATTCTCTATGGTGCATGGGCAAATACTACCTAGGATGCCAGGTGGCACACAGAACACACACTGCAGCAGTGGCAATCTGAAGTCTCTACTGCTTTAGGGATGTTTGATGCAGAATCCAGGAAGGACTACATATGATGCTGAACCTATCCTCAAATGTTACTGTAAAGCTATACAAACCGTCTTGTTGAAATGGGCTGATCAAAAGTAAAAGGAAGACTACAATACTGTGCTAATGGAAGAGATCAAAGTTCAGGTCGGTGTATCAACAGAGATCGCATTATCAAATGCCTAGGATTTTGTTCATGTCACCAGCGCTGTAGATCCTTAGTTGAAGAAATCCAGGAGAAAAAAAAAACAGAAATAGACTGGTCATGCACAGAGCCAATTTCATTCTTAATGAATCAGCCATGGGTGACCTTGTCTGCAGCCACCCATCTGACATCCTTCAATCAGAAAACTGAAGTCCAAACAGTGACTGAAGCCAATCAGCTGCAGTCACTGTTGGGGTATGCTGACCGCTGCTGTTAGAATACAAGAATATGAGCAGAAAATTAGTCAGCAATGTAAGTATGGAGGAAAGGGTTCTGTTCAGCCTGATCTTTTTGTGTACGGCCATGAGGGCTCCAGGACTGTCACACATCCTTCATTCACTTCTCAGCAGGTTACTGACCTGGAATAGGCACCAAGTGTCAGGACATGTCACAGTCAGAGGAGGTAAAGCAGATCTCAACTAATGCCGGTCCCCGGATGCTGCATCCTATAACATGCAAAAACAGTCACCTTTTGTCCGGAATGGGCTCTGTTCGGGGCTGGATCTGTCTGAGCAGTCCACAACAAAGCAACAGGTCCACTTTGGATGCCCCCACCCTACGCAACTGGTAACCGATGGGGGAGGTGGGCCTCACATCACCCTAGGCGACTGGTATCCAATGGCGGATGGGCTTCACACTACCCTAGGCAACTGTTAACCAATAAGGGAGGGATGTACACCACCCTAGGCAACTGGTAGCCAATGGGGGGGGGGACGACGACACACACACACTCACCGCCAATCCAATCAGGCTGGCGCTTGCACTACATGCTGGCAGATCTAAAGGGGATTGTATAGAGTATGACCAGCTTATGACAATCAGCAACCGATGGCGATACATCAATGCCCAGGTTATTTCACCCTAGAAATCAGGAGCAGAGAGCCATCACCTCCATCATCCTATATAGACTACACTGGGTGACAGCTCCCTCCACCTTGCAGAACACAACTCTCATCAATGGGATGATGTCCCCCATCAGTCAGATATCACACTGGATTGTGTCCCCGCCTACAATCACACAACACACACACGATGTGACACACGGTACAATGCAATCTATGACTGAGGAGGGGATATCATTCCATATGTATAGCAGAACATCTGACAGCGGCCTCCTCCATACACACAGCCCCGGCATAAGGCAAGCCGTGTACCGCGCACACACACACACCAGCCTCCTTCCCCGTCACAGACCACACAGCCGGCATCTTCTTTCACCCATTCTGCGGCCTCACTCACCAGTAACACCGCGTCCATCTTCCTCAATCCTGCCGACGTGGAGGAATATTCGGGTTGGCCACTGGAGCTGCCAATCTGTAAAGACCGCACCGCCCATACTCTTTGCTAATTGGCTGTAGCTGGTCAAAGGCCGAACCATCTTGCTTTGAGTGCAGCTATTGGTTGTCGTCATCTGGCATTGACAGCAGAACGCTCGTCGACTCTCTTTTTACAGGCGGAAGCGTCTGCTATTGGCTCGCCTGGTGCTGTAACTATTCAGCATTGGTGAACACATCATATCCTTTTCTGTCACTTCCTCCTCAAGATTTCTGTGGGCGGACCTACCCGGAGCATTTTACACTCTTTGATTGGACCTTTGCGGAACACCCTGCCTACCAATGGCAGGTCTAATCCAGTTGCTATGGTAACTGGCAGCCTGAAGACGTGGCTTCCTGTAGCAGTGGATGCATGGTGCTGGCACCCTGCATACAGGAAATGCAGAATGGTGAAGGAGCCAAAAGAAATATGAGAAGATGGTTATACCATTTAACTGCTTTAGGACTAGTGGTGTGCGGGGGCTTGGTGTGAACCCAGTTCACCAGAGTTTGCCAAAGCCCTTGCAAAACCGTCAGTGACACATTTCCCTCCTGTTCAAATCGGTTGCCCCACCCCCCAGCCACATGCAATAAAGGAGCAGGGAATGACCTGGCCGCAGCTGATTGGGTTGAAAGGCGCCAGTGTCAGCAAGGGTTTAGTGTGGTCTCCAGAGAAACCAACTGTACGGTCACTGGTTCTGAATGGCACTGATACCAGCTGTTTAGGCACTGATTCTGGATAGAACTAATACCAGCTGTACATGCGCTGGTTCTGGATAGCAGTGATACCGACTGTATGGGCACTGTTTTTAGATAGCACTGAGAGCAGCTGTACATGCACTGGTTATGTATGGGCACTGGTTCTAGATAGCACTGAGAGCGGCTGTACATGCACTGGTTATGTATGGGCACTGGTTCTAGATAGCACTGAGAGCGGCTGTACATGCACTGGTTATGTATGGGCACTGGTTCTAGATAGCACTGAGAGCGGCTGTACATGCACTGGTTCTGGATGGCACTAAAAAGGGTTGTATTGTCACTGGTTCTAGATGGCACTGGTACTGACTGGTGATGAGGAAGCTCTTTCCTCTCACAACCAATCATGTCAGAAGAGAGAGCCAGCTGCTAATTGCAGCCATTTGTTATATTTTATGATCAAGGTGATTGGTCACAGTGATCACATGGTACAGAGCACCAGGGTGAAATTCAGGACTTTTTGTCTGCTCTTGAGAGTAGCAAATCAAATACCACACAGTGCAATATTCTTGAACGACGCTGCTCAAAAAATGCATAGCAACGCTTCCATTGCGAAAGTATTAAGCTCCTCAGACCCACACAGGTGACAAATCACACATTTTTAAGCTTTATTTTCGGCTCCATGATCTGTTTCTGTATCACCCAGAATGTCTGTCGCTTCCTATTTCTTCTTCCTGGTAGACAACATTGGTTCTAAGACGGCCAGTATAAACGTGCTCGCTTTATTCCAGGAAGTAGAGGAGCATCCCGAACTTTATGACAAGTCCCTAGCTGTGTAATGCTGCAATGCCTACAAAAAACAGGAGGCCTGGCAGGAAGTTACCGAGCCTTGTGTCAGAGACTGGTCCAAACTAAGGATGAACCTGAGCTTGGTGTGAACCCAGTTTGCCTGAGCTCAAACCTATGGCTGCCACCCTTCCTCTCGGCTCAGGGGTGCATTCCCTACCCCGCAGCTATACGTCACAAAGTATGCCCCAGCCGCAATTGGTTTTGCACCAAGCCCAGGTTCGTCTCTAGTCCAAGCTGCCTACAAAAGGCAGCTTGGACTTACAGCAATAAGTCTTGGATTCTGTTTACATATTTTCCCTTTAAAACATTCCCAACTTGGGGGCATTAAAAACTTGACTTGTGCTGTCAAAAACGCACAGTAACGCATCACAAATGTATGTGAAGTCATTCCACATTTTTAAAGCATCGACAAGCTGTGAAATGTTAGCTCTTTAATGGGCAGTGAATCCTCACTTCTCTTCCTTAAGGCTGGGTTCACTACACGCTGTAAAACGCTCAGGTGGGAACCATGCCCATAGGCAATCATTGGTTTTCACATGTTGAGCGTTTTACAGCGTGTAGGAACGCGCTTTAAAACGCCCAGGTGTGAACCAGGCCTGAGGAGCTGTGGCCTCAGGCGGGCCCTTCACATCCGACACTTTAGATATAACGTGCCCCTTGCTGTACAATGTGAATACTCCCATCGGCCCCTAAGTCACCACTTTTTCCCCTGTAATGATGTAGTTGGGACAAGGCATGGAGGGTATCTGCCACACCTGGAAGTATTGAGCTGGATCATTGACTGTACTCTCCACTGTTTTATTTTGACTCAATCCCTGTGAGTACGTTTTTAAAGATTCAAGTTTTATTATTTATCTGGACGATGCGCACTATGTTTTTATTGCTTATCTATTTCTGGATGGATATCACTGTGAACTGGTCTGGTCTATATGCCTAAAGGGTGTCCCTCTCCGCCAAGAAGGGAACAGTGTTGTAGGGCCTATATTGGTCATCAGCTCAGGTGAGCACCCACCTGCACACCATGTTATCACGTGTGGATTGGAGCATTTGTTCGATGTGTGGTAAGCAAAAGTTTGGATAGAAGATTGCTATTACCACTGCTATCACTTTCGCCATTCCATTAGTTTTTTATGAATCTATATTTCTGTAATCACTTTAGAATTCTCACTCTTATGGGACTTTGGCACATTGTTGTTTATGTTTATGTTTTGATGCATATTTAATTTTAGCTCGGCACGTTATATTATTGTTATTCACCTTGATCACCACGGCCGGTAGTGCTTTGTAGCTCGCACTTAGGTCTCGTTCACACCTAGGCCTATTGCATATGTGCGTCTGTCGCGTGTTTTTTACCGTGATTCGCGGTAAAAAAGTTGCGCGACCGTCGCGCGTTTCCGAAGGCTACTTGGCTGTATCCCAATGGAAACGCGCAACAAAACGGCCCAAAGTAGTACCTGTACCTTTTCAGGCGTGGGCCGTTTTGTAGTGCGTTAGGGACGGGCGGAAATACGCCAAGGTGGGAACGAGACCATTGAATACAATGGGATTTATATTTTTGAGGGTTTTGTAGGGCGTTCGTCGAGCGTAGAACGTGCTACAAAACGTTCAGGTGTGAACGAGGGCTTAGATTGGACTGGCGCAGATCATTTTGACTATTATTTAAAGATTCTGCCAGAGGCTGTAGCTCCTGAAAAGACCTAAGTATGGATTTGCTGGCCATCAGGTAAAAATGAAGTCTTCTTTTACAGGCAACTTTTATGATCTTTTTTCAAGCAACAAATTCACTTAACCAAATATCCCAACAAAACCAAATTCAGCGGCACTTCAGCTTATTCACTGCATTCCCTGACCCAAAGTAGCTTACTGACTATCCCTACTCCAATTTTATACACAATATGGGTAGAAGCCACATGCCCTAAGTACATTTTCTTTTTTTTAAGTAATCCTTATTTAAATCTTTTCAACGTTACAATAAGACAACATAGAAAAATAGATAGAAAGAAGCAAAAGAGGTATCAGTGCAAAATTTTTACCGGGTGATATCATGGCCGTGAGGCCCATCAACAGAGCAAATAGATAATATGAATACATACGATGGATTTATGAATCAACAAAGCTATTGTAAATGAGGAGATTGAGCAGAAGGGAGAAAGAGATACGTGAGTAAGCGAGTTAGGAAATGAAAGAAAGAGACAAAGGAGGAAAGAGAAAAGGGTAAGAAAAAGAAAAAAGAATGAGGATACAAAGATTGAAAGTACTGCAAGACAACTTTAGAAATCATCCTACACAAAGGAAATAAAGGAAGCTTCAAATACCTAAAACATGAAAAACACAAAAAAGTGGGTCCACCAGACTTCTGTGAATAGGGTGTACAGAAATCTCGTCCACCTCCTGAAAGGCATAAAGAACAGGGAAAGACTGTTAATAACCTTGATTTTCAAGCATGAAAGAGGAGTGACTGCTCTACACCTCCGAGTCAGAAGCCAGTTCAGAGCTGTAATGAATCCACGTGGCCCAAATATTATAAAATTTGGCGTACCTGTCATGAGCAGTCTTTTCCACTCCTCCACTGAGGGAAGTGAGGAAGAGGGCTAGACTTATATTTGGTTATTGAGCGGGGAAGAGAGTGTAGCAAGAAAGAGGCTGGGAGGAAAGGTAGGTCAATGCCAAGGAAAGACTCAATCCAAGCTTGGACATCGAGCCAGAAAGGTTGAATTCTAACAAATTCCCACCGCACATGCAATTGAGTGCCTACCATTCCACAGCCACGCCAGCAGAGCGGTGATTCTGAGGGATAGATGCACTGTAGGCTATTGGGGACACGATACCACCGGGTCAGTATTTTATAATTAGTTTCCTGTACTTTAGAATTGATAAAAGAGGAATGTGTGAATTTAAGGATATTAACCTCATTAGGAGGAGTTGGCTACCTCCTGGTACACCTGCGTGCAATTTATCGACTGCATTAATATGCTCACACTTGGAGACTCGGATGCATAGAGTTAGGACCAGTTGTGCAAGAGGTTTTGTGCAACTAAAACCTCTGATTTTAACGCTGACTGTTGACAGGGCAATTTGTTTGGTTGCAGGTTAGCTGGCAGGTGAGCTGGGGATGTTCTGTGTTTTGTAATATTAGCCGACTCTGCCTCTGTGAACCTCACACCCAAGTCCCTCTCCCACTCTCTGAGAAAAAAGAGGGAGTCCTCAGATACCGAATGTATAAGAGAGGGACCTGGACGGGGCCTGGAGGCAGCACACAATTTTTCAAACGGAATGAGGGAGTCATAGGGTCTAACAGAGGAGGCTTACAATTTAAAAAATGCAGTAGTTGCTTATGTCTCCAAAAATCAAGAGGGAATGAACCCCACTTATGACGCATTTCCAATAGCCAATTCAGAACACTTGCCTGCAAAAATGTAATAAGGTGAACCTCTCCATCTCTCGCCCAGCTGTTACAATAGGACAGGCTC